AGAAACCATAAACAAAAAGATGGATCCATTTAATTACATTAAAATGTATGGGGCGCCTGGGTGGCGCAGTCGGTTAAGCGTCCGACTTCAGCCAGGTCACGATCTCGTGGTCCGTGAGTTCGAGCCCCGCGTCGGGCTCTGGGCTGATGGCTCAGAGCCTGGAGCCTGTTTCCGATTCTGTGTCTCCCTCTCTCTCTGCCCCTCCCCCGTTCATGCTCTGTCTCTCTCTGTCCCAAAAATAAATAAACGTTGAAAAAAAAATTAAAAAAAAATAAAATAAAATGTAAAGCACGGTATCCAATTCTAAGTTAAAAGACAAAATATACAAGTTACAAATGGCAGAGAGGCAGATTCCTTACTATCCCAAGAGGCCCCCAAACCATTCACACCAAATATCTAAAAAAAAAAAACAAAAACAAAAAACAAAAGTGGGCAAAGGAAATAAATACACTCATTCCATTCCATTTTTCACTCATCAATTGTAAGGATGAAAGGGCTGTAAAGCACTCGGTGGGACTGAGGGTGTGAGGAAAGAAACACTCACAGGCTTTGTTCACGGGAGTAGAAATTGGGCTGCTCCCCCAGGGAGGGTGATTTGTCAATACCTACAATATTTAAAATGCAGAAGCCTTTAACCTAGAAATACTTCTTCTTAGAAATGCATTCTAGAGTTCGAACAGAACAAGCCAAGAGCCGTATGTAAAGATGTTTGTTGCAACCCTGTCTCTAAGAGAAAACCATCAATGGGAGACTGGTTCAACGACACTGTAACTACACAAGGGAAAACTGCAGCCATTGGAAGAAATGGAGTAGGGGCCTGGGTGGCTCAGTCGGTTAAGCATCCGACTTCGGCTCAGGTCATGATCTCAGTTTGTGAGTTCGAGCCCCTCATTGGGAGCCTGGAACCTGCTTCAGATGCTGTGTCTCCCTCTCTCTCTGCCCCTCCCCTGCCCGTACTCTGTCTCTCTCTCAAAAATAAATAAACATGGAAAAAAAGAAAAAAGAACTGGAGCAGATCTATAATCACTGGTGGAGAATTATTCCAAACTATATAACTAAGTGGAAAAAGCAAGGTACCTCCAGCTTCCGCCCTATGATGCTTCTTTTGTGCAAAACAAACACATACACAGATATGCCTGTATCTGCAATAAAAAATTTGAAAACTTTTTGACGTCGGCTGCTTCTGGGCAGATTTACACTGTAATGCCTTTTGCATTGTGTGGACCTTTGAATATCGTGTACCCATTTGCATGGTCCGAGCACGTTTTTTCAATGTGTTCGACTTCAAAAACCACCCCTCCCAACAGGTACACAACTGTTGATCATTCAGACACACTAGAAGTTTACCAGGTACTATGGATATATAACCATGAATGACCTTGCTTGTATCCTCCAAGAGCTTTCAAGTAGGAAGTGCTTCTTAAGAGGATTTCTTTTACATACTACACACACAGTGTGCCACGCTCACCCATTACACGGATAATCTACAATGAGATGCGCCCCCCCTCAAGGGTGAGAGGCACGTGAACACAGTAAAACGCCTTCTACATATTTTGTTGGTTGATAGTTGACATCAAAGCTTTGTCTGACTTGAAAATTTTCTCCAGACACCAACAAACAGCCCCATACAAGTGATTTCTCAGGTTAATCAGCTTCGCTTCTCCTGGAGTAGTGTCTTCGAGAAAGAGAAATACAATAGTAGCAAATGTAACAGCTGGGTGATGAACCCCTGGGACTCTGCCCCTCCAAAGTGGTGCAACAGGTTCTTGCACAATCTGGTTCCAAGAAGAGTATACTGAAGTTATCAGGGTATGTGTAAAGACACAAACAAGGGATTAGGGAATTACTAAAGGCAAACTTAGAACCGAACAACCTTGCCTAAGTGGAGCCATATTATGATTACGTACATTAAGGATTTGTTGGTCAAAAGTCCCCAATTAGTTTGTCACCAATGGTACCTCATAGAACACGCTCAGATACACGCTCAAAGAACTATGCCATTCCTGCACAGCTATAGTCATCAAGACAGTGTGGCTAAAGACAGACATACAGGTCAATGGCACAGGATTCCAAGTCCAGAAATAGACTGACATACACAATCGATTTGCAGTAAGAGTGCCAAGACAATTCAACAGGAGAAAGCACAGCGTTTACAATAAAAGGTCCTGGGACCTGGACAGCGACATGCAAAACAATGAAGTTGTGGACTCCTACCTCACACCACATACAAAAATGAACTCAAAAGGGATCAGAGACCTAAACATAAGAGGCAAAATTATAGCACTCCTAGAGGAAACAAAGGCAAATTCCTTTGACCTTGAGTTAGGCAATGCCTTCTTAGATATGTCACCAAAAGCAACAAAAGAAAAACTAAATTGGACTTCATCAAAATTAAAAGTTTTGGGTTTCAGGAGCGCCTGTGTGGCTCAGTTCGTGAAGCAGCCGACTTCAGCTCAGGTCATGATCTGGCGGTTTGTGAGTCTGAGCCCCGCGTCGGGCTCTGTGCTAACAGCTTGGAGCCTGGAGCCTGCTTCGCATTCTGTGTTTCCCTCTCTCTCTGTCCCTCCCCTCCTTGCTCTCTCTCTCAAAAATAAACAAACATTAGGAAAAAAAATCTTTTTAAATTTTGTTTCAAAGGACATCATGAAGCAAAAATACAACCCACGGTATCAGAGAAAACATGTGTAAACCACGTATCTGATAAGGGACTTGGATTTAGCACCTCTAAAGAACTCTCACAATTCAGTAATAAAGATACACCACCCAACTTAAAAATAGGCAAAGGATCTAAATGAACATTTCTCCGAAGAAGATACGTGACCGGCCAATAAGCACATAAAAAGATGCTCCACATCACTAGCCTTCGGGGAAATGCAAACCCAAACCACACTCTGATACCAGCTCGCACGCGCTAGGATGACTGTAACCAAAGGCGGATAATAAGTGTTAACAAGGATGTGGAGAAACTGGAACTCTCGTACATTGTAAAATGGTGATACCACTTTGGAAGATAGTTGGTCAGTTCTTCAGATGGTTAAACACAGTTAGCGTACGACCTAGCCATTCACCTCCAGGGTAGGTGTACATTCAAAAAGAAATGAATGCCCACACCAAGACTTGTACCCCACTGTTCAACAAACAGCAGGACTCATCATAGCCCCAAAACGGAGACAACCCAAATACCCATCAACTGATGAATGGATCACAAAAAACGTGGTACATCCATACCATGGAATGTTATCCAGCAATAAAAAGGAACGAGGTGCTGATACGTGCTGCGTGAAGGAGCCTTGAAGACATTGGGCTAAGGGAAAGAGGCCAGTCACAAAAGACCACACATGGCAGGGCTCCATTTATATAAATGACCAGAATAGGCAATTCTAGAGGCAGAAGGCTGTTGCCTAAGTGTCGGAAAGGTGGGGAGAAAGGGAGGCGTGAGGAGGAAATGAAGAATGTGTTCTTTCCGGGGTGAAGTGATTTACTACTAATTGTGGTGATGACTGAAAACCAACAGAGTTCCACTTTAAACAGATGACTTCTGCGGTATATGAACTGTATCTCAACAAAGTTGCTATTTAAAGAAGAAACGAAAAGAAAAAGAGTGAGGCCGGGACAAACAGCTCCCGGATGAATGTTGATGTTGGTATGTACATTTTAAGAGGGGACATTAACATTCCAAGCCCTTAAAACAGCATGCTTAAAATACTGAAATGCTGATCACACAAGTATGTATGAATGTCTTGTCAGGTCCTTTTTCAACCCATCATTTTTAGAGCAATCAATACAAATCAAGGGATTTCTCAAACAGTCCATCTTTTATTCAAACAGAATCACATTTAACAATCAGGGTCAGATGGCTTAAAAACATCTGACCTGGGTTTTGGACAAAGACCAACGAGACGGATAGTTTATGGTCAGCAGCCTTTAAAATAATACTCTTGACCCAGCGCCAGATAAAGAGAAGGGACACAAGCTGTTTTCATTGATTTTTTTGTATACATTAAATATTATTAAATAATATATGTTATAAAACTGTTCTGTAAATGAGACAAACTGGATTTAAATAGCTGGTGGGTATGAGAGTTGCCACACGACTTGCCCCCATCACCATACTGAATGCTGTTGTGTTTACGGCAGAAAACGCAGTGGGGCTCTAGTCTCATCCCAGTGCGTTCACCTATGAACCCCTGTATCCTTCCTACCCATCTCTTCCTGCAAAGAGAAATCCCACTTCGAAGAGAATCATCTTTTTCCCATGACTGCGCTTCAAGAATACTATCCCTTCAGAAGGTTATCCAATACGTGTGGATTTCAGTCACGGAATCCTTGAAGCCTCCCCTTACGGAAAGAAAAGAAAACCAGTTCTTGGGCCTGCCATTTGTCTAAGACAGCCCCCCCGCACCCCTGCTTCCCCGCCTAGTCAACATACTAACCTTATTTAAACAGAGGTAAGGGAGTGAAGCGAGGGTCGGGGTCTTGCTTTGCACTGAGCCCGAGATTTGAGGCCCGCCACCCAGCCACCCTGAACTCACCTTCCCGGGCTTCTGTCCGCCTCTCCACCGCCACCTCGTACTCTTGGTGGTACAGTCTACAGACCACTCTCCAGACCCAGCTCGAGCTTTCCTCCCATCGCGTTGCCGCGCACGTCATTTCCCATCCTTGGAAACACCACCTTCCTTGCGCTGCCGCGAAGTCTTTCCTTGTCCTCTGTGCCCGTTACCGGCAGAAAAGCGGGACTCCTCATGTCACCTTTCCTAATGCTCCCTTACCTTCAGGAAGTAACGCGAACTCCGCGGCACGGCACAGCCAGCCATGGCGGACCGCCATCATGGCACTGAGCACAAACACAGAGGACACGGGGCTAACTTAACTTTGTCTGCCCTCGTAGAGTTGGAGATCTGTGTGCGTTAAGGCCCGAAAGGTGTTCAAAGGTCACAGTCACCGTTTATTAAAAATATTCATCTGCTTCTAAGTTAAATAAGCAATTTTAATGCAAACAGTCAGTAGGGCATCTTTCCCATCGCCCCCAAGATCTCGTCTCTTTCTGCTGCTGTAGGCATAGACGGCTGCACTCCGTTCTGTCTTCTCTGGATCATGACAGAATTCTGCACGTAGGTTTAAAAAAAAAAAAAAAAAAAGGAAGGAGAAGAAGAAGAAACCAAAATCAGACACATATTAAATGCTAATCATTTGCCAGTAATTGGTTATTACGTCCTCACAAGGGAAAGTCTAAAAACCAAGTGTAAAGAAAAACCAAAAAACTAACTCTCATTCTTCGGACAATATTTTCAAGCTATTAACAATTAAATAGAAGTGATTATTCTCATAGGAATCCATTGACAGTAACTGGGCTGGGAATATACTGTTCAAGTATGAGAGCACAGGAATCCAGTCCATCAAGAGGACCTACTAAGTGATTGCTAAATGAAACCAACAGTTAATTCAAAAGAGGGAAAGGAAGTAGCTGGATCCAGGGCTCAGAGAAAAAGAAATCATATACTGATGTCTCAAGGAAAAGGGGGGCATTTTAACTACCATGGGTGGTGGTGGGAAAGGAGAAGGCAGAAATGGAAGCCTTACCCCCCCCCACCCCACCCCCCGGTGAAACAAGAAAATCATTTGCTTTATTCTGGTCCTGGAAGCTCCAATGTGATTCTGAAAAAAGATGTCAGAGGGGCGGTAGCCCCAGGGTCTGGGTGCAGAATACAGTTCCTGGCTCCTTTGGCCCTGGAAGCCACAGGTGTGGTAAGAAGGCTCAGCTAGAGCCCAGGGTTAGTGGAAGTCAGTTCCCCCTGAGGCCCAGGCCCCAGCCTGGGCCAGAGAGGTCAAGGAAGAAGAGGGCTGGAGAGTCTGTTCAGTTCCTTAGCGATTGCACCCCAGGAGGGTGTGAGCCTAGGGTTACCTCCTCACCCTTCTCGGGCGGTACTACGTTTCCGGGGCCACTTGACAGTCCCTAGGGGTTCAGCCTTGGGGCTCAGCCTTGGCAATCCCAGGGGTCCCTCGCCTTCCAGCTCCAGCTCCTCAAAGGATGAGCCAGTGGTGCCCGACTCACTACGGCTGTGCTCGCTGCGGGTGTCACCATCGTCCCAGCCACGGCTGCTCACCCCGGGGGACAGTGTGGCAGCTGAAGTCTGTGTTACGACAGAACAAGTTATCCAGTCTGCTCCTCTCCAGGAAAAGTGAAATTGTAACAAGCTTATTGTTTTAGGGCTGCAGATCTTACATGCATAGGAAGACCCACCTAAGTCAGAACTGCGTTGTTATTGCTTGGATGGAGTAGGAGGAAGAGGTGGCCAGTTAAGAGCTCTCAAGGATCCTTTAGGGTGCACACAGGATACAGCCAAAGTTAAGTTTCCCCAGTCATCACACTAAGAAAAGACTGTGGGTACTGACTAAGTTTGGGCTTCAATTTCACGCCTTAGAGAGGAGTTTTAACACAAAGCTAACCGAGCTCGGCTTACCCAGAATTTCCGGCAGTTTTTGTACTTCAGGAAGTAAGTGGAACACTTTTCCCTGTCATAGTTATTTTCATCCATACATCTGGTAGAAGCATCAGATTCCTTAAATATGTAAGATAGGCATCATTTAGGGGTGGAATGGGATCTAAAAAAAAAAAAAAAAAAAAAAAAAAAAAAAAAAAAAAAAAAAATCCCAAACTTCTGAGGCTCCTTCCCCCCCAAAGCAGGTAACATGAACTCGTTCCTTTCTGTTCATTTTAACGAACGCGTCATGAACAAACACTGAATTATCTTTCCGACTATCCCAGTACTCATTCTGCTCAGAGCAGACATCTTCCTTTTCATAGTCTGGGTCAGTTTTCTGAATATCTGATCACAGGAACTTGAGCCGGAGCACTGACTGAGATCATTTACCCCAGTGAGTGTTTAACAAAGAAGCTAAGGCAAGGTGCAATGTGCTCGAAATCACTACTGCGCAGCACAGAGTCAAAACCCAGTCTCCCAGTTCCAAGTGCAGCTGTCCTGTTTTCCAGCTTTGACTTGGCTGTTTGATGTTAAGCTGGTTTCGAGAGCCCAAGTAAGTCGCTAATAACTGGTCTACATCAAGGCAACTTAAATTACCACCACTCATCTCGATGTATTTTTGGCTATCGCTCACTGCATTACGCAAGTACATATACTATTATGTATGCCGTTTTAATAGATATCATTAATATCACTTCAAAACCTACATGAGCAACACAGGGCTGTGAGTTCAAAGGAGAGTAGCAGTCATTTGGGAATTAAAATTAAGCTGTCTAAACCGGAAGTAGATTGGATAACAAACTTCAAAGTGAAAAGTAGGATTCTGAGAGGTCATCGAAAGGAAAGCGTTAACTAAAGGGGTAGGTAATTTGCTGCACAGCTCTAAGAAACACAGTCTATCTAGACAGACTGAATAAAGCTGTTGAAAACAGATCTGATACATGAAGCAAAGCTAAATTTCTACGCCAAATATTTAACGAGTGTGTATATTTGAAAAATGTATATAGGATCAGGGAATAGCACCAGTCATAGAGGACTGCATTATCCCAGGGTAACAAAGCCACAAGTCAGTATTGCTGGTCACACCACATACATGCGAATAAAACCTTATTATTACAACAAAACGTTTTGCTTATATGATAACCTTTGTGGAAATCTTTAGGCTTTAAATGGGCACATTCTATTATAGGCCCTTATTCTCAGCCAGGCTGTCTCACGGACATGATGAAATTATTGCTATTAAAACATAAATTTCAGTGGCAGTTTAAAAACATAGTTTGCAACTTTCCATTTCTGGACCAAAGATTTTCCTTGCTGTTAACCTATGCCTGTCTGGAGTTTCAGCGACAGCTAAATGCTTGCACGTTATACAAGCAACGGTAAACTCAGAAGAGGTGAATCTTTGTCAGCTAAATTATGAACACCTAAAAATGTTCTAGTGAAATAAGGATACGCTGGCCAGGAATCTTTTTTGTATTGAAATAACTTTATTCAAGAACCGCAGAAAACAGATACCCACAAAAGCAGAACAAGCCTGTTTTTCCAACTTAACCTCATGAAAATTAAAAGCAAACCACCTTACCGACAAGCAAGGGTTTATGTCTGGATCTCTCAGCCGCCGTGCTGCCATAGGCATCCTCACGGGTTTCTGACTGCAGGCAGACGTTGGAGAAAAGAGTTACATGGCAAATGAGAGAAAAATAAATCAATACATCTCATTGGACCCACGAGTACTTGAAAAATTAATTTTGGCGTAATGATTATCGAGTAAGGAACTTCATATGGCCTCTGTATTCTGAGAATAAACATTTGGACGTGTTTTTCCTTTGCACTGCCATGGTGCCTCAGCACAAGGGCCATATCTAAATTCGCCCGCTGCAAGTTGATCATAATGCCCAAGAGGACAGTTCAGCTATAATTCAGTTTTAGTGTATCTTTATTTCCAAACGTGAAGCTGTGAAATGTCCTAACAAAACCTGAGAATACAGCGTGCATTCTAACAATTACTTCCTTATTGTACGTCGATCAGCATATAAGATGAGTGTGGAGTCATTAAGACAACCCAACTTTAGCAAAAACATTTGTTAACTAAACTCAGAGTATGTACTCTGTAACCAGCACCAAGGTTGGCCAACATACCAAAAGAACAAAGTGACGGCTCAGCTGACATTTCGAAAAGTTAAAAAAGAAAAACTAAAGCTTTACTTCCAGGGGCGTCTTCTATTTAACAGATACTTCCCTTGGTTTAAAGGAAGTCACAGAATGTTACCGTGGTTCATTAATCTTCCGACTCAAGCCTTACACATACAGCTCTGCACAAGTCTTTATCGATTAAAGATTGATCACAGTTCCCTAAGAGCCAACCGATGATGATTCTATCAAGACACAGAGTACTTCCATAATAGGCATGTCATCTATACTCTGGGACAACTGCTCTCTCTAATGGAGTTCAACCCAAATTGGTATGTCTATCATCTTCGAAGACATGTCATAGAAAGGAACTAAAAGAGAAAATGTTGAAAAAAAACCAACAACAGTCAACACACTGTTAATTATTTCAAAGTGGCTTTTTTTGTTTTAATACATCGATACTCTATTGATGAGCCACCCACAAATATTTTTAAATGTTCTGCACTAAGTTTAAGAAGCTGAGTTAACCTGCTCTTGAATCCTGCTCTAGCTTAATCATCTTCCACCCAAAGATTTAAGGAGAAACAAGCAATGATGCACTATGACATACAAAACACCGCCCAGCAAAGAACCACCATCAGTCAATTTGACCAAAGGTCAGAAATTTTGTATGAAAGGGTTTCTACTTTTCTGGCTCTGGACGACACCATCAAAAAAATATCTGTCATGTTAAAAGAAATAAGGGACACTCAGGAAAATCAATCAAACCCCGTAAGTTCCTAAAAAACGGAGGCATTTGCAGTCAAGGGTTACCTAGTTCAGAGACCAGGATGTCCAGGCTAAAGGAGATTAATCTTTACAAAGAAGGGTGGAAAAGAGTTTAGTTATTCCAGGATCCTTTAGATTTTAGGAATCCTCTAAGAAATTATTTCATTTTATGATTTTCATTGATCAATACATGAATATACTTAGGGGTGCCTGGGTGGCTCAGCCGGTTAAGCACCTGACTCTTGATTTCGGCTCAGGTCTTGATCTCACAGGTTCGTGAGACTGAGCCCCGCACTGGCCTCCATGCTGATGGTGCAAAGCCGGCTTGGGACGTTCTCTCTCCCTCTCTCTCTGCCCCTCCCCTGTTCACACGCGTTCTCTCTCTCTCTCAAAATAAACTTAAAAACAATACATGAATATACCTTAACTAACAGAAACATCGAGGTAAAAAGGAATTTCAAGATGCTGTTCAATTGTATCTAGAAGCTTCTTCCTCTCCTGAATATGATTCTTTTGCAGGCTTGACTTCTTACGAAGAGATAACGATACTAAATAAAATCACATCCTTCTTTTTTTTAACATCCATCCTATGACGTGAGAATACAGAACTCTGCTTAGCTGTTCATACTCCTTATATATCATCTCAACAACGATCAGCTTGGGGCAAAATTCAGGTTGCATGCCTTACATGAAAGTGCACTTGCACTGCATTTTAAAATCATCACCAATCAAGAATTCTTTGATAAAAATAACACCTGGGTAACATCACATATACACAAAATCAGGTTTGCAGCATGAAGTTATTCACATTTCATTTCCTTTCTCTTCCGGATTCTAAATACAAGTCAAAGTAAGTTTGGATTTCTAAATGTCACTTTCTTTGCATGAATCCTCAAGTATCACTGGAAATGAAGAGGAAATGTCAATTTACAGTGAGGAAAAGGGCTAAAGGGAAGATCGAGTGTTCCGCTAGAGAGGGCTTATCTGCTTACTTTCTGAAGGCACGAAGCAAATATTACAAAGCAAGTTCTTCTTGCAGAGGACAGACAGAAAGAAAACCAAAGATTTGAGGGAGGGGTCACAAAAGCACAGCACATTGGAGGAATAACTCTAAAAATCTCTCCAAAAGGCAAACTGTAAAAAAAAAAAATA